ACACTTGAATATTACATATTACAACCTGGAGTCTGGGGTTTGATAACACTTGGATATTACATATCACAACCTGGAGTCTGGGGATTGATAACACTTGGATATTACATATTACAACCTGGAGTCTGGGGATTGATAACACTTGAATATTACATATTACAACCTGGAGTCTGGGTATATATAACACTTGGATATTACATATCACAACCTGGAGTCTGGGGTTTGATAGCACTTGGATATTACATATTACAATTTAACGTCGATGTTAACAAGGATACAACTTAAAGTCGGTGTTATCATGGATACAGCATAAATATGACGTTATGAATGGCATATGTTAAAGTCGATGTTAACAAGGATACAACTTAAAGTCGACATTATCATGGATACAGCTTAAAGATGACGTTATGAATGACATATGTTAAAGTCGATGTTAACAAGGATACAACTTAAAGTCGGTGTTATCATGGATACAGCTTAAAGTCGACATTAACAAGGATACAGCTTGAAGGCGATATTATCAAGGATACAGCTTAAAGGTGACATTATGAAGAATACAGCTTGAAGGCGACATTATCAAGGATACAACTCAAAGTTGACGTTATAAAGAGTACAACTTAAAGTCGACGTTATAAAGAGTACAACTTAAAGGCGACGTTGTCAAGGATACAACTTTATATATACGTTATCAAGGTTTTGTCTTAAAGTCGACGTTTTCAAGAATACAGCTTATAGACGACGATATCAAGGTTACAACTTAAAGTCGAAGTTTTCAAGAATACAGCTTAAAGGCGACGTTATCAATAATATATCTTAAAGTCGACGTTATGAAGAGTACAATGTGAGGTTGACGTTATGAAGGGTACATCTTAAAGCCGACGTTATGAACGTTGAAACTTAAAGTCGACGTTATCAAGGATACAGCTTAAAGGAGACGTTATCAAGGATATATCTTAAAGTCGACGTTATCAAGGATACATTTTAAATTCGACGTTATGAAGGGAACACAACTAGCATATAAACAAAATCATTCAAGTGACATTAAAATGTACTTCAAACCAATTCATATAGATTATTTCCAAACTACCAGTATTATGTCAACATATGACATCAACCAAATTTACCAGCAGGATATTAATCGATCAACCAAAGCTCGTAATATGTAATATCCAAGTGTTATCAAACCCCAGACTCCAGATTGTAATATGTAATATCCAAGTGCTATCAAACCCCAGACTCCAGATTGTAATATGTAATATCCAAGTGCTATCAAACCCCAGACTCCAAGATATGTCATTCATAACGTCGTCTTTAAGCTGTATCCATGATAACACCGACTTTAAGTTGTATCCTTGTTAACATCAACTTTAAGTTGTATCCTTGTTAACATCGACTTTAACATATGTCATTCATAACGTCATATTTATGCTGTATCCATGATAACACCGACTTTAAGTTGTATCCTTGTTAACATCGACGTTAAAATATGTCATTCATAACGTCGTCTTTAAGCTGTATCCATGATAACACCGACTTTAAGTTGTATCCTTGTTAACATCGACGTTAAAATATGTCATTCATAACGTCGTCTT